AGGGAGAGAGAGAGAGACACACACAGAGACACACAGCGAGCAGTGTGGATCAGCCATTGGTGTGCGCCAGAGTGGGACGGACAGAAACATTACCGGTTGGTCTCTGCCTGCCTGCCTGCCCAACGAGTGGCAGCGGTTGACAGCGGGCAGCGGGCATCGGGCAGCAAGCAGCGACAGCGGGCAGCGTCAACGGCACACAGTGGACATAAGACATCAAATGACAAAAATTTAAAAGAACGAAACGAGCAAAAAAGCAACGTGTGACGGCGACAGAGGCAGAGGCAGCGACAGCGATAGCGACAGCGCAGCTATTCTGGTCAATAATGAGACTGAGACGAAGACGAGCTCACACACACTCGCATGTAGCAGCGACAATTACTGGCTGGCCATTTCCATTCCCGACAACGATGCAGCGCAGTCGGCAGCAACAACCAACTCGTTTTAGCTCTGAAACCGAAACCGAGAGAGCGCTCCGTTAGCCTTTCAGCGAGCGAATGACAAGGGAGCCAAAGCAGTGCGTGAGAGAGGAGCCTCCACACAATCTGTGTCTGTGTGGGTGTGTGTGTGAGTGTTTGGTCAGTAAACACACACACACACACACACCCAATACGTCGCATGTCAACCCCACCGCTACGGACCATCCACTCAGACGACACTGTGCGAGCAGGCAGGCAATAGCCGAATATAAAGAAGTTACACTGCTCCAGCACACACGCACAGGGGGATCCGCCCTATACATATATATAGAGAAGTATGTATGTACGGTGTATGGTGTATATGGTTTGTGGTCAGGAATTAGCCTCCAGTGGGAGTATCTGTGTGTTTTTGTGTGTATTGGGTGAGGTGGGGGATCTCTCTACTCTCCTCACCACATAATGACATATAATAAAAATTGTTGCCTCTGCTTAAGAGAGCTGCCTGAGGGCCTTCCAGCTCTTTCCACTCTTAGCCGATGCACTGCTTTGCCGACACTCGCTCTCGCTCTCCATGGCCTGCGAGTGGGCTCGTGCGAGCGGGATAGCAGGCTGTGTATGTGCGTGCGTGCGTGTGTGTGCCTAATGACCCATCGACGACAATGTGACACAGGCAGCCGTCGCCGCCACCGCCGCCGCCACCGCCGACGCTTCAGGGAAGGCCAATTCCAATAGCGCATTTACCCTCTCTCGCTCTCACACTCTCTCAGCCAGCACACACACACACCCGTGAACAAGCAAACAGAAGCAGCGCTGCCAGCAGCAGCAGAGGCAGCAGAGTCGCTGGCACCGGACTCTTCTCTGCTTCATTCAGGTAGACATTTGTGTGGCAGTTGTCCGCTGCTGCGTGTCGCTGCTGCTGGAGAGTAGTCAGAGTGAGAGAGCGAGAGACCAAAGTGTCACCCACCCCGCTGCGCTGCGCTGCCACGTTGCGTGTGTGTGTGTGCGTCGCATTTGTCGTCGTCGCTGTCGTCGTTTCGGTCGTTTTTTTCTGCTTTCTGCCGCCTCGCAGCCTCGTCTCGGCCTGCACGACAATCAGTGTCACCCACGACACCCGAAAGAGTGGATCTTTGCTCACTGCTTGTGCTGTGCTGTGTGCTGCTTGTATTGCTGTCACCTACACACTGTTACCGTTTCTGCCTCTCGTTTTCGTTTCGTGTGCGTGCGCGTGTGTGCATGAGACTTCTTGTTGCCGTCGCCGTTTGCCCTCCTCATACACCAAAAATAAAATAGTGCTTGACGACAAAACTTTTTTAATCAAAATTCTACAACAAAATGCAATAAAAACCGCAAAAACTCATGGAAAATATACGCTATTTTTCCACAAAATATTTTTTTTAAATACGATAAAACTGTGGACCCGAACAAAAAAAAAATATAAAGAAAGATCGCGGGAGAAACCGTTCAAATAATACAACAAATTAAACGCAAGTGCTGAACAAAATAGTGGGAAAAACTGAAGAGTTATATAACAGGAACCTGCCTGAAAACCCAGGAAAAACAATAAAAAAAAAAACAAAAAACAACAAGGTATGTAAAAGAGTACCCGTACCCGTAACATTCTTGTGTCTCGGTTTTGCCGGCGGCAGTTGTTGCATCTCCAAAAGTTGATTCTCAATCAGTTAAGACTATGTTTGTGTTGTACCAAGGATCCTTTTATAATGAGTGCTGGCCAAAGGATCATTAGTAACATCATTAGGCTTGGAATTCGAATTCTCTACAATTTTGGTCATTCCAAAGGAGAGTTGTTTTATGCGAAGGATCCTTGATTGTCAGTGTCCATCTTCAGGTTCTAGATCCAGGGTTAGGTGCTATAATGTCGGTATAATTTTGGAATCATACTTTAACAGTGTTTAGTTATTTTCAGAACAAGAATTCTTTTTCCTAAGACTTTCATTTTCGGAGTTCTCTGGGTATTATCTTCGGGGCCTTGTGTTCTTTAGGATTCTACATTATCTCGCTTGTGTCCCATACTCGTTCACTCCGAAATGCCAAAGTTCTATTTTGTCATACTGTAGGTGTCCTTCAAGCGGTGTCAGAGATCGTATGTATATATACGCAATCATAATCATCATCAGCATTGTCATTTCATTCCACATCGGAGTAGTACTAGTATCCATTACAGCCGAACAACCGCTCCCCAACGCTTGGATTCTTCTGTGGAAATCTCTAAAATGTCAAAGTTGTAATTAAGATTTTTGTCTTTCGAATGATGTTTCTGCCGGACCATCATCTCTGGGGTCCGGTACGTTGCTCCCCGTGGTCTCTGGTCTCTGGTCTGTAGTATCTTGTGCTGGTAGTATCTCTACTTGCCTACTTGCTGCCTATTATTATGTACTACTATTAACAACAACTACAACGGCAATTATAGGCAGTGGTCACATCTCTGGGGCATGCCTCGTCGCTGCCTGTCGATGGATGCTGTGTGCGAGAGTACCTGGTAGCTGTTGTTCGGGGACTTTCAACATTTTTCTGCCGATAATCAAAAAACGTTTCGTCCGAGCCATCAAAAGTTGTGATTGGTTTTTTCTCTCTCTGTCTCTTCCTTCTGGATCTGTTGCTCTCTCTTTCTGTGCTTGACAAAAATAATTATCCCATGTACCATCCATCCATCCAGCTATCCATTTCTCAGCCATTCACACACTTGCGCGTACATACACGCATTTTAATGCTATTGTTGTTATCGTTACTAATGAGCCCCATAAAAAAAAAAAAACAAAAAACTTGACTAAACCGAACGCCCCTCTCTTCAGAGTCTCCCAGTCACCCATCCCCCCAAGTGGATCTCTCTCTCTGAATCTCTTTTAGCTGACATTGGGCAAGCGGCTAGCGAATGTGTTCGACTTTTAAGATTGATTCCAGATAGCCCCGGCCACAAAACATCTCTCACACGACCATCATGATCATCATGATCATCATGCTGCTGCCGGCCGCGTTAACAATTGTCCCCAGCCCAAAAGTCTCCTCAATCTCTTTCCAGTCTCTCCGCTAAACCAATGTCCGTCCATCTTTGGTTTACCAGAATACCCTGGTTGAGAGGGTTTTAAATGCCTGATCTTCAAAAGCACAACAGCTAGTTCTTGTATGAACGATAATTCATAGAGATCATAGAGATACTTTTGGTTGTAGATAGGTGATCATTGGGAACAGACCATAAGATGAGTAGCGGCCATACATTGCAATGGTTGATACATATGAGCAAAAGGTGATAACTTTTTAGTTCGAAAATACCCAAGATTTAGTCGTATTTCCAGGGTATCCCTAACTTCGTATAGCCTTTCCCTGCTGATGCTTTTTACGTCGGGCTGCTGGCTGCTCACAATTACGGTAGCGAACGGAGCCAACAATAAAAAGACGCTTGGATCACATTTGGTGGCTAGCTAAAGCTCTGTCCCTGCCTCTGTCTCTGCCTCCATCTCCGGATCTCCGGATCTCTGGCTCTGTCTTTGGCTCTGATCGCCGCATGTTGTCGTCGCCGTCGTCGTCGTCGTCGTCGTCGTCGTCGCCGTCGTCGTCTTCGTCGTTGTTGTCGTTGTCGAATGTCGTTGTCCGAGGCGATTTTAATGGCAGCCAAAAAAGCTGTAAAAGATTTCGCTCAAGCAAATGAGGCAATGTGTACACACACACACACACACTCACATATATGATGGGTGCCCGTGCCCCCTCTGTGTGTACGTGTACTTTTGTGGTCAACTGTTGTGTTGACATGAAAGATCTGCCGATGCTCTGTCACCAGCGCTAGGAGATTTCCGTAAAAGTCATCAGCTCCTTTGGCTTTCACTTTGGCATCGGAAAATGGGTTTGGAAATGGAAATTGGGTTGAACCGATTTTTATAGATTTTTATACATAGTTTCTCCAAAGCAAGAAGTCTTTTATTTTAGATATATTTCATTCTCTTCTCTTTGTATCTGTTATTCTAGATACATTCCATACATGTTCCATATTGATTGTGGGATATTGCATCTTTTTGATGATTTCTTTTGATTAATAATCGATTAATAATCGTTGAAATCAGTTGCAATCGACAGATTTGCCTTCTCTGTCACTATTAATTGCTGTCGCAGTTCCTTCTTAAGCCATATAATTGATGGATTGTTGTTCCTTTGATGTACGTTTGTTGACCCCTGTTGACCTGTCCTCGATTTAATTGCGCCTCACACATGGGGGAGAAATGGATCCATCCCGAAGGGGATGGGTATCCCAGAGACTTGGCTGACTTTTGGCGATAACGTTTGGCAGAGCAAAATGTTGCAAAACTCTTGCAATCCGACTTTCATCCCTCCCCATGCCACATGCCACAGTTCGCTGCCCAGTCCCCAGTCCCCAGTCTCCAGTCCTCAGTTGTGGCATAAGTTTGCGATTAGGATTGTGCGCTGTCCGCCGACTGATTGACCGTTTGAGCGACTCCCTGATTGACACTTACACTTGCCCCGACTTTTCCCCCTCCCCGCATCCCCGCACCGAAAAGCCTCTCTAATGATACCATCGTTTCCCTCTCTGTTTTTGCAGGAAAAATCCCAACCGAACGACCGTCCCGGCCATCCATTCATCCGGACAAGACACCATGGAGCACATTATGAATCCGTTCATGTCGCCCGCTTATCTGCTCGGCCATGGCCCACATTCACATTCACATTCACATGGCCATGCCCATGCCCATGCCCATGGCCATGCCCACGCCCATCCGGGTATGGCCAGCGGCACAAATTCGCCGGCCAGCTCTCCAGGTGGATCCTCGGGCTCCGGTGCCGGACAAAGCAGCAGCAGCTCCTCAAAGCCCAAGCGCTGGGGCTCGCCGCCCATCAACCTGGCCGGACAGTTCATCAATCCGGCCACCGGCAAGAAGCGCGTCCAATGCTCCATCTGCTTCAAGACCTTCTGCGACAAGGGCGCCCTCAAGATCCACTTTTCGGCGGTGCATCTGCGGGAGATGCACAAGTGCACCGTCGAGGGGTGCAACATGGTATTCAGCTCGCGCAGGTCTCGGAATCGGCACAGCGCCAATCCCAATCCGAAGCTCCATTCGCCCCACATTCGCCGCAAGATCTCGCCCCACGACGGACGTACAGCGCAGCAGTTCCCCGTTTTTCCCGGAGCAGCTGCCGTGGCTGTGGCCGCCGCCGGCCGCTTGCCGGCTGCCTTTCCAGGACTCCTGCCACCACCGCCGCCGCACCACCATCCGTCACATCATCATCCTGCCGGGGTGGGCTACGGACCTGCCATGATGTATGGCTCCGGACTGCACAGCCTCGGACTGCTGTCCGCTGGACAGGAGCGAGAGCGCCTCTACGAAGAAGATGTGGATGCGGAAGGGGATGGGGATGGAGAGGGAGAGGGAGAGGGAGACGCTGATGCTGATGTCGATGCAGAGGGAGATGGCGATGATGATGGTGTCTTTGTGTACGTGGACATGCATGCCAATAGCTCCAGTCCGGCTGCCTCCAGCCAGGAGTGCCCCAGCGAGACGGATGCGGATGCGGACGAGGAGATGCACTGCAGCCTGAGCCTCACCAGCAGCAGCAGCAGCAGTGGCGCCTGTGCCGAAGAGCAGCGCTCAGCCGATCAGCCGCTGGACTTCAGCCTCCACAAGCGACGCGAAACAGAGCCAGAGCCAGAGCAGGAGCAGGAACCAGAGCGGGAACGGGAACGGGAACAGATCAAGCGCTCGTCCAGCCCCTGTGGGGGAGCCTTCTCCATGGAACGCCTGCTGAGCAAGCGCAAGCGGAGCGACAGCAGTGCCTCTGCCGCCGTCTCCACGGGCCTCCCAGAGACGAGCATCAAGATGGAAATGGAGCTGGAGATGGACGGCGACGGCGACGGCGACAGCTCTGAGGCCCTGGCGGCGGCATCCGCCTGCATTGACCTATCGGCGCCACCGACCAGGAAGCACTCGCCCGTTCCACTGTCCCTGTCGCTGCCACTGAGTCTGCCCCTGCCGCTGGCCATGGATCTGGAGGAGCAGCATCACTTCCGACTGCTGCAGACGCAGATGTTTGCGGCCGCTGCGGCCGCCGCTGCAACCGCCTCCAGCCAGCAACCGCCCAACGCCTTCCTGCCGCAGGGTGGCGTCGAGCCGCCGTCCCACACCTCGCCCAATGCCCCGCCCATGTGGAGCCTGCTCTCCGAGGTATACCGCTCGATGCTGCTCAAGACGCAGCAGCAGCAGCAGCAGCAGAGCCACCATCACCACCAAAGCGGAAGCCACCATCACCACCACCACCACCACCACAGTGGACACCACCAGCAGCAGCCGCCGCAGCAGTCGCCGGCGCCGTACGGCGACCTGCCCCCGACGAATGCCGCCATCTCCGTCTAAGCTTTGGGAGCCGCCAAGGACGAAGGATCCTTAGTCAAATGTTTATTATTATTTTATTATGAATGTTTTATATTTTGTGTGTGTGTGTTTTTTTTTTTTAATTTTAATTTTTATTGTGGGCCTCGCGGTGCTGCCGGAAGCAGGGCGTTGGAGGGCCTGCGGACAGAGTCCCCACCGCCCCCCACTACCCCGCCGACGGCGGCATGGCAGCAGTCCCCGAATCTGCCTCGATGGGTATTACAAACTGGAATTGCTCCAAAACTTAGCTTTTTTCCTGCTCGTACTTGTGTTATATTGTCCCCTAAATGTATCTTTTTTTTTTCGTGTAGATATAATGGTAGATCTAGGTGTACTATATAGTATTCAATCCGTTCCTCAGTGCAGCAGCAGCACGAAGCTAGAGCGAGTGTGAGTGTGAGTGTGAATGCGAATGTGAATGTGAATGTGAATGCGTGTGTGAATGAATGAATCGTTATCTGAATCGAAGGGAAATTCGCGATTTCCCACCCCCTCCTCTCTCAACCACATCTCGAGCGGTGTGTGTACAACGAAGTATTGATATTTATAAACGAAAATACTATGTATATCCATAAAACACATATATTAAATAGTTCTAAGACAAAAACAATTTTTTTCATAGTCAATAAATATTGTATTTTATAAACTGAATGTACTACTAAACAGCAAGCTCTATGGAAACATATCCTATTGTGTTAAAACCCCCCTACACCATACATATACATAGTACATACATGTGTACCCATTCAGATAGATATGTACAATAGATCGTAAGCGAAAAGTGAAATGTTATTGCTCTTTCTCTCTCTCTCTCTCTCTCTCGCAAAGGAATATTGCTCCCTGCCGCATCCTGCAAAAGGATTGATTGTGTATTGTGTATTACAACATGATTTTAAGTTTTCATTAACAATAAACAGCAAACAAAATTGGAAAAATGTAAAAATACAACAAACAAAATGCTTTTCAATTGGGTTCAAAATATATCCGGGGATATACGTGATGGTGGTGGGAAGGATCTTTATTTTTAAAGGAAATTAAACCTTAAATCGAAAAGATAAATAGTTTTCAATTGGTTTGAAAGGGATCTTAACTTTAAAAGGAATTCGAACAGAGTGTGGATCTTGAAAGATGTGTAGTACTCTTAGGGACAGATATGATTGAGAAACACTCGTCTGATCCATTTCCTTTCCAGACACTTGTAATCATTTCTGACAGCAAATCTGTGGAAATCTCTTGCTGCTTGATGCTTAATCGATGAGTGTGTCGGGGCCATAGACGCGTACGAGTCTGAACTTTGATTCGAATATACATAAATAGTTTATATAGTAGAGTCCGATGAGATCTAAATTGGGAAACGCCCTCGAAATTTCAGTTTGCCTCCCTCTCTGGCTCACATGTAAGACGGCGGCTCTTGGGGAAGGCGTGACATGCGGCATAAGCTGTGTGTGTGTATCATGATGAATGCCCGACTATTGGTCGCAGCAGCGGCAATGGCAAACCACATCATCATCATCATCATCATCATCATCATTATGGATAGGCATTTGAGGCCACTTATGGACAGATTACACAGATACTCACACGCACACTCATGAACCTAGTGATACTCAGGCGCACAAATACTCATGAGACGGGACTTATGTACGAGTGTATGTACATTCCAATATAAACATGCTACGATATTAACATTAACACCGCGCACACCCTTTTTGTCACTCACTCGGCTCTGGGGCTGTGTCTGGGCTCCAGGCCTTTGCCTGCAGCTGTCTGTCCAACTCCCTCTCAAAAGCCCGCCCCAGAGGTACGCGTACACTCGACAAAATAGCTTTTGAGGCCAGGAGAGCTGAAGAAAGAACCTCAGAACAAACAAAAAAAAAACAGAGTTAAATATATGATAAGAGATGTTTTTATCAAAAGTCTTGGAACCCAGACTACGAGCGAGATAGCCTTTCTTTCTCTTAGTGTATTCACACGAAAATCCAAGCCGAAAAATTCCACATTCATCTGGAGAATGGAGGTGGAGCTGGAGCTGGAGCTGGAGCTCATTGCACATACGATATGTACATAGTTGTGTGAAACCGAAACCGCAAAATTGACATGGATGCGAGACTGTGAAAATGTCAAGTGGTTTGAAGCAAAGGATATGACTACGAGTTGGAGCAGAGCAGAGCCAGGGCAGAGCCGGGGCAGAGGGTACCCACCAGCCAATCCGTCAGAAGAGCGGAGGGGTCGTGGCGGAGGCGAGACAGCCCAAGCTAAACGCTTGCCACATTATGAGATGATCCTTGGCAGCGATGTCACTTGAGACAAACATTCATGCCTGAGCATCGCATCCCAAAGACAACGGGAACGGAATGGAAACGGGCATGGGTATGGGTATGGGTATGGGTATGGGTATGGGAATACACGAATGCGAATGGGACTCATCTCTTGGGATCTATTTACTTTTAAGTTTCTGAATTGGATGATGTCACTCCGCTGAGTCGGAGATGGCAATGGAGCTGCAGGGGTAGGACGCTGCCGGCGGAGTGGGTGACTTTTTTGTTCAAGTACTTCGGGACATTGGCGGTGGCAAAACGGAAACCGGCACAAAAAGGTTTCGTTTATGTCAGTGTCGAGCTTTGGTACATATACTCTTAACCATAGGGTCGAGATGGAAGGTACATATATCCCTGGATTGTGGATGAGTGAGGCGAAGCATATTCGGGGATCCATATATAGATCCATATATGCTACAATGGTAATCCAAAAAGGCTGCTTTACTGATAGACCATAACCAAAGACATCATAAATAGTTAGATGAGTAACGACCATGGATTTCTTTGGTACGCGATTTATTCAGGGTGGCTCCAGGCTCTCTTAGATGTTTGTGTAAAGGCCAGTCCTTTGCCAGAGTATCCGCTCTTCGGTCTATCCAAAAATATTCTTTGTTTCGTTTTGTGTTCTTTTTTGCTTTATGAAATATTAGAAAAATTTACAAAGCGTTAAAAATTAACATTTCAAATAGGATTGGAATAGACTCGACTCTGCCGCACATGGCAGGGCAGGGCTGGGCAGGGCAGGGCTGGGCTGGGCAGGGCTGGGCGTACGAGTATGTGTTCGTTGCCATCGCCATTGACGACGTCTGTTTTTGGGGGATGGATGCAAATGCGTTTATTTTTGGAGACAATTGAAAACCACTCGAGGGTTATTGAGATGTGACAGTCAAGTAGTTGGAGTCGAGTCAAGTCGACTCGTCGCAATGTTGCGGCGCGTCGAGATAACTTGACGTTTGAAATAGGATCAACTCTTGTTCCGATTGCGAAACTGATGCAGATACAACACACAAAATAGAGTTGGCATTACCACCGTTACAGTTCCAGTGCAAGGAGTGGACATGAGTATGAGCCATATGACAGGCGAATGACACAAGTAACTCGGAAAAATGAAAAGAGGGTTGGGCCACACCAACACCAACACCCATCCCATCATTCCACCCAAAAGGAAGGAAGGATGGTACATACATAAGTAGCATAATATCAGAGATGTACGATACGGCAGCTCATAAAAGCAGGCAAGTGTGTGGGTGGCTCTGCTCTTACGGATGATTAGAATCGAGACCGTGGCGAAATTTATGGAAATCAATGAGTGAATTCTTGATTTTTACCACCTTTACGACCTTATGGGGGGTTATCAATTACACATTTATTTATATGTTTCCTTTCGGCGGATTTATGGGGAGCCTGCAGAAACGGCTTTGGTTATGGGCTCTCCCCATTTTCTAGATCGCATGAAATTCTTCTACTTCGAAACTTACTCTGACGTAAAGAACGCGGATAAGTGCTTCCATTCATTGCCATCTGATTCGATCAGAAGAGTCGAAGATGTTTCCGTGAAGCCCAGAGATCAGATCTTATTTGTCGTTAATTGAATTTGTCATACGATTTGGTTTTGGCTCTGGCCCAAAGTGGGTCGCGACTGCAATCCGGTTTCTCTCTCTCTCCATTCATGTCAATTGGAACCTGGAAGTCAGTCGTCTATCGCATCTTTGGGATTCGCTTCTGTTGGAGAGGCTGGGCTGGGCTGGGCTGGGCTACTTTGGGATGCATCATCGTTCGGTAAATGGATCGTTTTGTTTTGGAATTACTGCTGCCCGGAGCCACAATAAAATTCATTTCGATTTCGGTAATTGTACATATCAGCCAGAACAACAACAATAACCATCCGAACTGAGGCCCGGCCGGCCACATACGATGGATGGATGGACCAGAGCTAACAGCAACAGCAACAGCAACAACAACGCGGATTCCAAGTAAGTAAATATACTTAATTTTAATGACATAGAAAACGCTGCTAAAGTGGCCGCTGATTGAATCTCGTTAGTTGTTACCCCGACGGGAGAGCCGAGCCGAGCCGAGCCGAGCCGGGGCCAGGCGATACCAAGAAGCAACTCCCAGCCGCAGTCCCGGTGCCAGTACTTGGGCAATTAATTCGACATTTTAATTTACATTTCATGGGAACATGCTGCGGCTGTACCGATGTACGTGAAGCTGCCCCCGGGGGACAGACGGACAGACAGAGTCCAAATGGACCACCGGACTCCGAATCAACTCTCGAGAATGTCACATGGGGGGCATCGGCATCCGAGTGCAGTCCAATGTGACACCTTTGGGGCAATACTTTAATTTTATTTTACCCAATTAGTTTGCAAATCTGCTGATTTATTTATCAACAAGCATTTAGGGGGAATTCTGTGGCAATTAAGGCCACTAATATTCGTTTTTTCCGATATGATTAAGGGACTAAAGGCCTGCAATTTGTTTCAGCATTTACAATACATAATAACGAAATTTACATCATATAAAAACTAAACTGTTTCATGCTTAAATTTGGATTTTTATTCACACATTTATTTGGGTCCTAAGAGATCAGGAAGATCTTGTCATTGATTAAATGTATTAGACTCGTTTATTGCACCATTAACCATAATTCTACTGGCTGTTTTACTAATCAATCGAAATGTAGAACAGTGTTGAGGGGGATTGAAAGCTGCCAGTGAGAATGGAGCATTGCATCGATAGATTGAACTCGATAAGCGCGGCGGCAAGTGACATTCGCAGATGACAGGTGACG